GACATCACTTCTATTTTTACTTTGACCAGAGACTCGATAAGTCGATGGTCCAGCAATATATAATCCAGTCTTGAATACATCTCATGTGCATGAGAATAAAACGTATAGTCTCTGTCCTTCATGTGCTTAATTCTCCATATATCTACAAGTTGACATTGGTATATCATTTTTTTCAAGGTTTTCAGAGACCTACTACCATCTCTCTGCACAGGGGATGTCATATCCATCCGGGGATCCATGCAGAGATTGAAATCACCTGCCACAATTAAATTGTCTTTTTTGAAATCCATTAACTTCCTCAAAGTATTTTTTAGGAATACCTCCGGTTTCTTATTCAGGCAATAAATATTTGCTAGTGTACAGTCTATTTCATGTCATTTTTCCCTTCAGAAACAGAAATCTGCCTTCCGGATCTACCAATCTGTTTTCTAGCTTAAACCTATATTTTTTTGCAACACCTATTGCCACTCCCTTGGCACGTTTAACCACTTGCCGCCCTGCCACTGTAGAAATACGGCACTGGCAGGCAAAACCACATTTTAAAACGTGTGTTTTGTAAACAGATAGGGGGCGCGCGCCCTATCTGTCCTGCCGATCACCGCCACGGATGTCAGTCGCCGGGTCACAGCCGGTCCTTAGCGGCTGTGACCCGGCGATCAGCGGTAAACGTGACAGAGAGCCCAGCTGCAGTAGCTGTGCTGTCTGTCACTTCCTTGTCAGCTCGAGGACAAGCTGATCGAGACAGAAGAGTTTCTCTCTCTCGATCAGCGGTGTCCCGTGCAGTACACCCCCCCGCCCTCTAGTAAAACCTTCCCTGCAAAATAAAGTTAACCCCTTCCTCCCCAGTGCCATTAGTACAGTGTCAGTGTTTTTCTTTTTGCACTGATCACTGTATTAGTGTTTTTGGGGATGTCAGTGACCCCAAGTCAGTACCCCCCAATGTCAGAATGTGCGCCGCAGTCCCGCAGTCCCACCTTAAGTCGCTGCCATAAGTCACTGATCGCCGCCATAATTCACTGATCGCCGCCATTATTAGTATAAAAAAACCCTAAAAATCTCAGTATCTTTCCCGCCATTTGTAAACGCTATAACTTTCACGTAAACCAATTAATTTACACGTATTGTTTTTTTTTTAGCAAAGACATGTCGCAGAATGCATTTTGGCAGAAATTTATGACTAAATTTGATTTTTGCATTTTTTTTTACTGGACATGTTTTATAGCAAAAAGTCCAAAATATTGTTTTTTTTTCCTCAAAATTGTCAGCCTTTTTTTTTATAGCGCAAAAAATAAAAACCACACTGGCGATCAAATACCACCAAAAGAAAGCTCAATTTGTGGGGAAAAAAAGGATGTAAATTTCATTTATGTACCATATTGCATGACTGCGCAATTGTCCGTTAAACTAGCGCAGTGCTGTATAGCAGAAAAATGGCGGAAGTTGCAGTATTTATACCATAGTTTGTAGACGCTATAACTTCTACACAAAGCAATCAATATACACTCATTGGTTTTTTCTTTACCAAAAACATGTAGCAGAATACATTTTGGCCTAAATTTATAAGCAACTTTGAGTTTACTATATATTTTTTATAGCTGAAAGTAAAAAATATTGTTTTTTCTTCAAACTTTTTGGCCTTTTTTTGTTTATAGCGTGAAAAATAAAAAGCGCACAGATGATCAAATACCACCAAAAGAAAGCTCTATTTGTGTGAAAAAAAGGACGTAAATTTCGTTTGGGTGCAGCATTGCATGACCGCGCAATTATCAGTTGAATTAGTGCAGCGCCAAGTAGCAAAAAGAGGCCTGGTCATTAAGGGGGGGTAAATCCACTGGAGCTCAAGTGGTTAATTGGGGAATCTGCATAAAACCACATTGGATAATATCTGGAATTTAATTTCACATTTGATTCTTGCACCAAATGTGTCTCCTGTAAAAAAAACACTGAAGAAAATCTATGTTGAATTTCTTTAAAAATTCCAAATCTCTTCCCAGGGCTATTTAACCCTTTAACATTATAAGTCACAAAGTGAATCTCTTCCATTCCTCTCCTCTCCACACCTCTATCTTCCCCATCTTTTCTCCCTTCCGTTTTCTTCCACATCTTCCCCTTTGATCTCTAGGATTTCTCCAGACTGATGTTTCTCCCACTATTTTTTTCAGAGTCTTAAACTACCTATCCCCTCCCCATACCCTCCCGTCCCTCCTCCACCCCTCCCCCCGCTCCCACATCTCCCTTTAGGCTTACATTTTGCCTATGAATCATTTGTGGTCCTAACCCCAGCTTTGATTCAGCTTTTAAGGTGAAGCTCTGACCATGAACTTTTCCCCAATAAGCGTGTCTCATCCTCCATGTCCTGCCATACTCTAATAAACTTCAAAGATCATAAGGGGAGAGGCAGAAATGGAGGGAGAGAGAGAAAAAAAAAAAAAAGGGAGAGAACCCCCCTCCCTCCCATCTTATTCCTCTTCACTATTCCTACTCTCGATTTCTCCTTTGAGCTACTTGCCTCCCCTCATTTTCCATAGCCCACATTTCTCCTTCTTCCTCCCAACCAGGGATATTTATTTTCTGTATATCAAGTCTCTCACAAAAGTCTCTCAGATCTTTGGGGAATCTCAGTCTTGCTGAACGTCCATTTCTCCATCCGATCAAACATGCTGGAAACCCCCAGCTATATCGAACATTCTGTTTTCTCATCTGTTCCAGTAACGGTTTCAAAGTTCTCCTTTTTATTAATATTTCCGCTGCTAAATCAGCAAAGATCTGTATATTTATTTCTTCATATTTTATTATTGCTCTTCCTTTTATCTTCTTCCAAAGCTCTTCTTTATCCCGAAAATTATGGAATTGCACTAGTACATCTCTTGGCTTTTCCTTTGTATCTTCTTGTATGCATTTTCCTATTCTATATACTCCCTCCATTTTGAGAGACTCTGCTATAGTTCTATCCATTATAGTATTCAGCATTGTCATTATTCCCGTCAAATCTTCTCCTTGGGAGATCTCTGGAAAGCCTTGCATGCTTAGATTGCATCTCCTATCCCTATTCTCCTGGTCTTCCAATTTATATAACAGATTTCTTTGTTCTTTTCTCATTTCCATCGTCCGTTTTTCTAATTTCTGTATAATTTGGGCATGTTTATCTAGTTTTTCTTCTGTCTCCTCCACCCTTGATAATATTTGCCCCAGATCTTTGTGTAATTTTGCCAGTTCCTATTTTAGGGATCTTTCAAGTCCTTTAAACATTTCTGCCATTCCTGCTTTAGTAGGCATCTGTGAGCTCTCCTCTTGTTCTTCTATTTTATCCATATCCACTTCTTCTTCCATATGTTGACTACTGTTAGCTATTCCCAGGGATAGTCTGGAACATTCCCCCTGTTTTCCCTCTCACCTCTTACACTTATTCCCTGTTGTCTCTTTGGAGTGTTTCTCCTGTGAGGTATGTATTTTTCAATTGACCCTGTTTGGGAAGCCTTAGGCCCTCCTCCCTTTGATACTTTGTTTTTCATGCTGTCAGGGACTATTTCAATTTTCCGCAGTTCAGGTTTTGGAGGGAGGTCTATTTTTGATTTGATATCAAAATTTGTTGTCTTCCATGGGTATTCCCCTCTCAGTTCTTTTTTTCCTTTGTCTCTCCCCCCACTCCCGAACTGATCTACCTGGTGTAGCAATCGTACCCACAGAGATGGACGCGGTTCAACCATTTTGCTCCAACCTCCATCTTGGCAAAGGATCGTCCATCTTGTACAAATATAGCTTTCCTCATCCCCCTCCATCTCTGCTCATCCACAGCGACATGTGGCCTAAGTCATGAGAAGTGTCACAGGCGGCCAAAGCACAGCAGAAGCTCCGAGCTATAAAACCTCACGAGCTGGGTGTTTCGCTGTCTAAGAAACTGTGCAATCTGGCACATCGTAAAAGTCCCTCACTGAACTTCAAAAGACCTTCCAAGGGGTCGTAAAAACAGACTTACTTTTAAAAACTCACTTTTCATATAAGTTGATATCTTCACGTAGGACATAACTACCTAAACATGGAGCCTATATTCGGAAGGCTCAGTTTGAGGCCATTCTCCTGGTATGTGACACCCCTTAGCTGGCATACATAGGAAAGCAGAAAAGTATCTCTTGAACCATTCAAGTGCATATTTCATGTTTCATCTCTAACCATTCCGCAGATGCGGCTGAGTATTAATATACTAGTGCCCAACCCGGCAAATGTACCTAGGAAAAGTTATGAGCCAAAATATAAGCTATGAGAGATTCTGGTTGTACTTAGGTCTCCTCCCAACACCCCCTCCCCAAAAGGAGACCATTGGTTACTACTCCAAAGAGACACTCTGCTGGGATTTGGTAGAAAAGGGGCTGTGATACTTAGAGTTGTGTGTGAGAGAAGGAAGAATCTCCTGCATTTAACATCAAAACTAGCAGAAGAGACAAGAAATCCTTTTGACTTATGACACTTGAAGCTGCTTAACCCAAGGCTTTTTGGCAAGTACTTATCTACCTAAACTTTTTTCTGTTATCTCTTTGCTGTGCCATTGTTCTCTGTATATATATATATATATATATATATATATATATATGGCTACATCTTTTTTCTGTAAATATTTTTATTGCATCCTTTTGACATAATAGTAATAAATCTTACTTTCTGAAAGGGTTGAACTGTTTCTAAAGCTCTTTAATGCAACTTACGAATTCCTGCCGCTGAAGAGCGCTACTATGTGTGTTTAACCCTCTGTATAACCTGTCTCACTCACCCCTCTTATCCCCAATACGGCTTTTCCCCCCGTATGAGATCTCTGTCATATATGAAGAAAAGGGCTTCTCTGAAAAACATTTCCCGCACTCCGAACAAGGGTATGGCTGCTCCCTCTTGTGTTATCACTGGTATATATAAAAAATAGGACTTACGTGAAAATCATTTCCCGCACTCCGGACAGGTATGCAACTTCTTCTCTGTGTAAGATCTCTGATGTGTGTGAAGACTAAGCTTCACTGAAAAGTATTTCCCGCACTCAGGACAGACATATGGCTTTTCACCTGTGTAAGATCTCTGATATATGTAAAGTCTAGACTTATCTGAGAAAACATTTCCCGCACTTAGAACAGGGATATAGCATCTTCCTCATGTGAGGTCTCTGATATATATGCAGGCTGGACTTCTGTGAAAAAACATTTCCCGCACTCTGAACAAGGGTATGGCTGCTCCCTCTTGTATTATCACTGGTATATATAAAAATAGGACTTACATGAAAAACATTTCCCGCACTCAAAACAGGAATACTTCTCCTCCATGTGAGATCTCTGGTTTCTATAGAGATTGAACTTCTCTGAGAGACTTTCCCGCACTTTAGGACATCTCTTCCTTTACTCCAAGTGAGGGGTGAGGCGGCTCCAGGTACTCTCTTCTGGGGAACATTGCACTTGACATTCCCCTCACACAATGAGTGGATTGCGGGGGGGGGGGGGTTCACCCAGCACGTTTCTGCATGTCTCCAGCTGCCACGGTCCTGTGTGCAGGAGGAAGAGAGCTGGCATCTCCCTTGCTCCAAGAAACACAGGCTGCCTCCTCTGCCTCCCAGAGTTCCCTTGCGGCAGATCACCTGATCGCCCGGCGTCCACTGAGCTCCGGGAAACACACAGCGTCGGGGGCCGAGAGCACAGGAAGACCCGCCGCGATGGCCGCCAGTCCCGGAGGTCTTTGGTCCACGGCAGGCAGGCAGGCAGGCAGGCAGGCAGGCGCCCCCCTCTCCCCGACTAGTCTCTCCAGGGCTTCCCGCACATCTCTCCCCTTCTCGGCAGGACACTGGAGGTGCTTGGGAGCCAGGAGCCCTCACATCGAGCTCCCGCTCCAAGCCATGGTCAGGCTCCTTCCTGGGTGTGGTCCTGTTCTGAGCATTAATATCGGTCACTAGTGGTTTGGCAATTGCAGCTCACCTGTGCATGTTTTGCTTATTCCTCACAGTTTTTGTGGACACTGCTTTTGGAAAACTGAGATTGAGCTCTGCAGTCACATTTAAAGCTCTAGTTTTCTTATTCAGGGCCACACTCCTGCGCAATGCCCTTTTGTCTCTGTCGGTCAGTTGACCATGCTTATGCTCATCAGATGACGGTTTCCTGCAAACTGTATATGCAGTCATAACCTTTGATACTGCATCTTGCGACATGGCACCAGCTAAAGTGGGAAGCAACAATTTGCCCTCTTTTGAAACTCAGTAAGCTCTGACATGACTGCGTATTACTAGCAGCGCATGCAGTGTATGACAAATGTGAGGCTTCCCACCTGTTAGCTAGGTGTCTTATTACACAGTGGAAGCAAAAGAATGCTACATCATCACTTCTGCTGTCTGTGTGTGTATGTATATATATATATATATATATATATATATATATATATATATATATACACACAGACACACATATATATACACACACACACACACACATATATATACACACACACACACACGAGAGACATACATACATGAGAGACAGAATAGCAACAAAAAATTTAAATGCATGTCTAACAAATTATGCACTGATTTACATGTGGAAATAAGTATTTGATCCTCTTCACAAAACATGACTTAGTACTTGGTGGCAAATCTCTTGTTGGCAATCACAGAGGTCAGATGTTTCCTGTAGTTGGCCACCAGGTTTGCACACATCTTAGGAGGGATTTTGGCCCACTCCTCTTGGCAGATCCTCTCCAAGTCATTAAGGTTTGATGGCTGACGTCTGGCAACTCGAGCTTTCAGCTCCCTCCACAGATTTTCAATCAGATTAAGGGCTGAAGACTGGCTAGGCCATTCCAAGACCTTAATGTGCTTCTTCTTCAGCCACTCATTTGTTGCCTTGGCCGTGTGTTTAGGGTCATTGTCATGCTGGAACACCCATCCACTACCCATTTTCAATGCCCTGGCTGAGGGAAAAAGGATCTCACCAAAGATTTGACGGTACATTGCCACGTCCATTGTCCCTTTGATGAGGTGCAGCTGTCCTGTCCCCTTAGCAGAAAAACACCCCAAAATCAGAATGTTTCCACCACCATGTTTGACAGTTGGGATGGTGTTCTTGGGGTCATAGGCAGCATTCCTCCTCCTCCAAACACGGCGAGTTGAGTTGATGCAAAGAGCTCGATTTTGGTCTCATCTGAGCACAACACTTTCAACCAGTCCTCCTCTGCATCATTCAGATGTTCAGTGGCAAACTTCAGATGGGCCTGGACATGTGCGTCTTGAGCAGAGGGACCTTGCGGGCACTGTAGGATTTCAGTCCTTGTCGACGTAGTGTGTTATCAATTGTTTTCTTGATGACTGTGGTCCCAGCTGCCTGGAGATCATTGACAAGATCCTCACGTGTAGTTCTGGGATGATTCCTCACTGTTCTCATGATCATTGACACTCCGCGAGGTGAGATCTTGCATGATGCACCAGACCTAGGGTGACTGACAGTTGTTTTGTGTTTCTTCCATTTGCGAATGATTGCACCAACTGTTGTCACCTTCTCACCAAGCTGCTTGGCGATAGTTTAGTAGCCCAGTCCAGCCTTGTGTAGGTCTACAATCTTGTCCCTGACATCCTTGGGCAGCTCTTTGGTCTTTGCCATGGTGGAGAGTTTGGAATCCGAGTGTTTGATTACTCCTGTGGACAGGTGTCTTTTATACAGGTCACAAAATGAGATTAGCAGCACTCCCTTTAAGAGACTGCTTCTAATCTCAGCTTGTTACCTGTATGAAAGACACCTGGTAGCCAGAAATCCTGCTGAATGATAGGGTATCAAATACTTATTTCCCTCATGAACATGGACATCAGTGCATAATTTGTTAGACATGCATTTCCTTTGAAATTTGTGTTGCTATTATGTCTCTGTTACAATACACCTACCATTTGTTTTTTTAGGCCGATCATTTATTTGTGAGTGGGCAAACATTCAAAATCAGCAGGGGATCAAATACTTATTTCCTTCACTGTATATATATATATATATATATATATATATATATATATATATATATATATAAAATCTATCTGACCTTCAAGACGTATTCAGTATATGTTATATACTGGTCTCTGTTTGCGTGACCGCATCAAGGGTAGTATTGAGGTCTGTGTCTAAGAGGACATTAGAGTCGGTTCGCAGTTTACTCTCCAAATGTTCAAAGTCTTTCTGTAACTCATGCATTACGTTGAACAAGGTAGTTACTGCTTTGAGAATGTCCCCCAGTTGTGAGGCCTCCCTTTCAGACTTCATCATGGCTGACTGGTACTGTCATGTACCTGATAGGAGACTGAATTGATGAGGTCGGCCTCACTTGTGTCACTAGCCCCGACCCCGCTGAAGTTGGAACAAAGGGAGTCTAGGGACCAGGGGGACAAGAGCGCCTGAGGTGGTTGCTTGTGGCTCTTGCAGATGATGGCCTGAGAAGGCAGTGTATCCTCTGATTTGAGTATTGTAATAGCAGACAGAGCAGGTTCTGGATAATGCCTAAGCAGGTAGGTAGCCAGGACACAGGACAGGAGCAGGGTCAAAGGAAGCCAAGGTCATCAACAGTCAGGCAGCAAGGTACAGAATCAGTAGGAGAAGCCAAAGTCAGGAGCAGAGCCGAAGTCAAGAACCAGGAGCAGGAGAGCAATCAGAGTCTGGTCAGGAACAAGCCGGGTCAGCACCAAAGGAATCACACAGGAACAGCAGGACACAGGGGGAGGCTGAAGACCAGTCAGCAGTGAATCATCATTGAGGTGCTCCTTAAATAGCCCACTCAGCGCCAACAGGCGTGCCTGGGTCCTTGTGCCTGCCAGTTCCGTCATTGGTGACAGGCGCGCCTGGGTCCTAGTGCCTGTATGCCTTGTCGGGATCCTGCATCTGTGCAGATTCATGTGCTGCAGCGATCTTCTTGTTCCCTGACATGCCCCCCCCTTATGGGCATCCTCCGGATGCCCACTAGGGCTCGTTTCTCAGGATAACGACAGAGGTAGGCTTGAACTATCCGTGGGGCATGGACATTAGTGGACGGTTCCCAGGAGTTATCTTCTGGTCCGTAACCCTTCCATTTGTTCAGGAACTGGGTCTGTCCGCCACTTTTCCTACAGTTCAGAATAGTCTCAATCTCATACTCTTCGTTCCATTCGACCAACACTGGCGCAGGCGACTCCGGATTCCGGTTGGGAAACCCTCTTGGGATGTGTGGTTTCAACAAGGAGCAATGGAATACTGGGTGAATCCTCAAATGTTTTGGTAATTCAAGTTCAAACGCTACAGGGTTCACCTTTCTCTTGATGGGAAATGGTCCTAGAAACCTTGGACCATGCTTCCTTGATGGACAACTTAGTTTCAGGTTGGCCGTGGATAGCCAGACTTTGTCCCCTTGTTTCAGTTCCAGGTTACCCCTTCTTTTCCTATCAAAAAATTTCTTGTTGCTCGCCTGAGCTTTGGAAATAGTTTTTTGTAGGACTTCGCCGTTCCTCCTGAGGAACTCCATCCTTTCTTGTACTGCGGGCACAGCGGCCTCTACTGGTATTTCTGGAAGAAAGGTGGGGTGGTATCCGTAGTTAGCGAAAAATGGAGATTGCTTGGTAGCGGAATGGATGGAATTGTTATAGGAGAATTACGCTAATGGAAGGAGCGAAGCCCAGTCGTCTTGCGAATACGAGGAGAAGCATCGGAGGTATTGCTCCAGAGTTTGATTTGTTCTCTCCGTTTGTCCATTTGTTTGGGGATGGTAAGCAGATGAGAAGCGTAACCTGATCTCAAATGCTTCACACAGAGCTTTCCAGAATTTAGATGTGAACTGTACTCCCCGGTCAGATACAAGGGGGACACCATGTAATCTTATGATTTCTTTTATGAAAACAGAGGCAGTTTCTGTGGCCGATGGAGTCCCTTTCAAGGGGATGAAATGAGCCATCTTAGACAGGTGATCAACCACTACGAAGATAGTGGTAAATCCTTCAGATGGTGGCAGTTCAACGATAAAGTCCATTGAGATCATGCTCCAAGGTTATTCTGGTACGGGCAAGGACTCCAACAGGCCCCAAGTCTTGGCTTTATCGGATTTATTTCTCAGGCAGACTGTGCAAGATCTCACGTAGTCTCTTGACAATCCTTCACTGTGTTTGGCCACCAGAAAGAACGGGAAACCAACTCAGAGGTTTTGTGAATCCCAAAATGACCTGCTAGTGGATGGTCATGACATCTCTGGAGAACAAGAGTCCGGAATTCTTCGGGCACGAAGATCCGCTCCTTGTGGAAATACAAGCCATCCTTTAATTGCAAGTGCATATTCATGGGAGGTGGGTGACTTCTCATGGCTTCCTTTATCTGCGTAACAAGGTCCGTCTGAAGGAGTAAGAAGTTTTTGGCAGGCAGGATTGTGTCAGGTTCAGACTGCGCAACTGGGTCGGGGAACATACGAGAGAGCGCATCAGGTTCGCCATTCTTGGATCCAGGACGGTATGTCAGATGGAAGGTGAAACAAGAGAAAAATAGTGCCCATCTAGCTTGTCGTGGCCTGAGGCGTTTCGCCGTTTTCAGGTACTCAAGATTTTTATTGTCTGTGAAGATGAGAATGGGATGAACTGCACCTTCCAGTAAATAGCGCTGTTCTTCCAATGCTACCTTAATGGCGAGTAATTCTCTGTCTCCCACGTCATAGTTCCTTTCGGAAACACTCAATTTTCAGGAGAAAAATGCAACAGGGTGCAGAAGGGATTTGAGTCCCTGTCTTTAGGATAATATAGCTCCAACTACGTTCTCCAAAGCGTCAACTTCAAGAACAAAAGCGAGAGCAGGGTCCGGATGCTTCAGAATAGGTGCGGATGTGAACATAGTCTTTAATTGCTCGAAGGCTGTTTGAGCTTCGGGAGTCCATTTAAAG